AAGTATGTCAGTTTAAAGCAATTAAATTGAAAAGGGTACGATGAACGATTTGGGACTGTAGCTTTATGCAGCAAAGAAAGATTTTTGAAACCACTGTGTGCGAAGTGTTTATTGTTGCCATACATCAACAGACTGGCTGTAGCCCAAATGATGTTAATAATACTAATTATAACAATAATAATAGTAAAATTACATGTCAAATAATCACAGAAAGAAAAACAAAGCAAAATGGTCAGAATGTAAACAACATAAATGGAAATACACTAATTTTCTTTGTCAGTCACTGCGGCCGGCGAAAACAGATGAGAATCTCCGACGAAGTGCATCACGTGTGAGGTGAAAGTCGAATACAGATGCGACTCTGTTGAACACACGCTGTCGGGGTTGCACGTTTAGGTCAATTTGCCTCAGGATAGCCTCACAATCTATTCGTCCCTGTAGAGTGTCGGCGATAATCAAAGCTCTGCTGGTGTCCCTTCTAATCCGGAGAGGTTCAAGGTTTATCAGTTGGCAGCGTCTCTCGTAGCTGGGCAGCCGAAGCGGATCTCTCCAGGGCAGTCCACGAAGCGCAAAACGAAAAAAGCGACGTTTCGATCCTTTCGGCACCATTGTTGTAATTCGGATTCCAAACCGCAGAACAATACTCAAGCGTCGATCGTACGAGGGAGCAGTAAAGAGATTTTAAGCAGTAGACATCGGTGAAATTCTTAGCTATTCTGAAGATGAATCCTAAAGTCCTAGACGACTTATCGATGACATAAGAAATGTGTTGCCTGAATGTTAGCTGAGAATCCAACAACACACCCAGGTCTTTAACCTGATTCACGCGTTCGAGTGTCGTTCCAAGCATGAATATAATCGGTTGCTTTTTTCGTGAGAACGTTATGGCAGAGCACTTTGCTGGGTTCACTACCATTCGATTTAAAGTACACCAACTGGCGAAGACATTATGCTGATGTTGAAGATTGTGGCAGTCAGCGACAACAAGCTTGAATACTTTCGAAACAGCACTCAGCGATGTAATTCCACGATAGTTATCCACGGCTCGTTTGCTTCCCTTTTTGTGGACAGGAAACATGTGTGCAAATTTCCAGGAGGATGGAAATATACCACTGGAGAGGGACATACGGAATAGACGGTGAGGTGGAGTTAACAAGCAAGCAATATGTTTCTTCAAAAACACGGACGGAACTCCATCGGGTCCAGGGTTGAAGGACGATTTGAGCTGCGTTGCAGCGTTAGAAATCATCTCAACGTTGACATCAATTGCACCCAGCGTTTGACCATTTAGTGGGATGTTCCTGGCTGCGAGGGAAACATGGTCGTCACTTAGTCTCTCATCAGTGAAACCCACTGGAAAAATTGATAGAAAAAAAGGCGGCAAATATCCTGTGGAGTGAAAGCGACTTCACTGTTCAATTCCATTGACGATGGGAAGCCAGATTCTCTGCGTTGCTCGTTCACGTAGTTCCAGAAGGATTTCGGGTGTAGTTTAAGGTTACGCTGAATACCTCGTTGCAATCGCAGAAAGCATCGACGACTGGCTCGCTGATACTCGTGATTAAGCCTCACGTAGATACTTCGTAAATCTTCTCAATGCTGCTCTCTTGGTCGATTTCAAACTACGCAGCTCAATCGTCTGCCAGGGAGGGTGAGAGTTTTTGCGGTGAATTCTTTTCAGGACATGAGAAAAAGTTTGCGCAGCGGCCTCAACGTCGTCATGATTGAGAATGTTCTCCCAGTCCATGTTTGGCAACACATCTACAATGCTTCGATGGTCGGCCTTTCGAAAGTTATAAGAAACCGCAGCAGGAAGACTATCGAAATCACGAACGAGATTGTCCTCAACAGTGACAATCAGAGGAGGGTGGTGCGGAACAAGCTTAACTAGTGGACAAGGTGCTGTGGAAATGAACGGAGCATTGCCTGAGTGCTCACGAAGCAGAGGTCCAAACTACGGTTGTTCTCGTTGACTACGTGGTTAATTTGAGAAAGCGTTGCTACGCTATAGTTATCGAGAAGGCCGATAGCTTCTGCATGAAATACAGAACGTTCTGGATCTGGATAGAGGAAGCCGCTATGGGATGGTCTCCACGAAACGCCTGCTAGGTTAAAGTCCCCAAAAATGGATAGCTCATCAATTGGAGTCGCTCTTTCCATTACTGTGAAGACTGATTGACAGTGAATTTCGATGAGTTCAAGATCACGAACTCGATCTGGAGGCATGTACAATGCGCACAAAAATAATGTGCGATCGCCCAGTTTAATGGCTGTCCAAACCTGTTACACACTGTTCCACGATTCATTTTCGATTGCACTCGCCTCCAATCCGGACAGCCACAAGAACGCCACCACCAGTAGATTTTCAGCTGTTGTTTGGATTCCGATCGCAACGAAAAACCTCATAATCGGATCCGAACACCTGGCTGGAAAGCGTTCGCGAATCTAGCCACGTCTCACATAGGACAATCACATCATAGCAACGATCCGACACAGCAAGCCGGTAGTCGTCAACATCAGAATTCATTCCACCGGCGTTTTGGAAGAAAATCACGATGTCCAGCTTGCGGCTTACAATCTAACGTCTGTTCTCCCTGGAAATCACGGAAGCATCAGGCAGCGAATGAACATTAAGAATCCCATGCGGATACTCGCCATAGTGACTGGGTTGGAAGACCCCCTCTCCACATCCGACTACAGGTCCGAAACGACTATGGTGAGCGGCGGCAGCAAATGGCTGGACTGAGACGGATGGGATTGGGGGCTTCCACGAGGCTTTCTACGGCGCGTTCCGGGCTCCGAGGTACGAGAGTTGATTCGGCGGCATTCAAGTTGCTGAAATTTGGATCGGCATCAGACATCGTATTTGCACTATTAATTATGTACCGTGCCGATTCAAATTTCGGACACTTAAACTCGAATTTCGGACACTTTTAAAAGTTGATTATCTCGGTCGAATATGATCCACATGTCTTGTAAATTTTAAATTTTTTTGACTAGTGCCCTCCACGGTCATCTAACATTATTACTTTGTTTCTAACTGGATGTAATATTTAATTAAAAATGAAAGTGTCCGAAATTTGAATCGTCCGAAATTTGAATCGGAACGGTACTCGCCTGTTCTAGCAAGTTGGAAGACCCCCAATCCACATCTAAACTCAGGGCCAGGACGACTATGATAAACACTGACAGGAATAAGCACGACTGAGTTAGAGGAACAGGGGGCTTCCATAAAGCTTTCCACGATGCGTCCCGATTGAAAAGCAGATTGGTTCATCCAGAGTTCAGAAGACATCGAGCTTACTACGTCGTTTTCAGAAGGCGAGGTTGTATCGGATGGTTGCGTTAAGTTTTTGCTGCTGGAAGCGGAAGGTGGCTCAGAAAAAGAAGGTTATTAGCAAATAAGCGGTTCGTTATTAGCAAATGAGCAGTTCGTGACCAAAACTGTGTAAGCCAAGCATGGTTTAAAGGGTGTTCCACATCAAATTGCATCGCGGAAAAAAAAACTCTGTAGTAAATTACCTAGTTGACCGATCCTTTTCAAACTTTCAGACAATAAAATATAACCCATTACTAAGTTTTTGGCATATTTATTTCATTAAACTTCAATACCATAACCGTACGCTCGCACCTTACGCTTAACTCCACTCATTAGGTTCTGTACAACATCTGGCTGCAGCTACTTCTGTACGGAAACCCACTTTTTCTTCATGTCTTCCTCCGATTTGATATCCTTGGGATGCTTCCGTAGTGCCTGCTTCATAATAGCCCAGTATTTTTTGATGGGCCTTAGTTCCGGTGCATTGGGGGGTTCATGTCCTTGGGTACGAAAGTGACCCCGTTGGCTTCATACCTCTCCAGGACAACATTTGAATAGTGGTACGAAACTAGATCTGGCCAGAAGATCGTAGGGCGCTCGTGTTGCTTCAACAGAGGAAGCAGACGCTTCTGTAGACACTACTTGAGGTAGATCTCCCCGTTTACAGTCCCGGTAGTCACGAACGGCGCGCTCCGTTTACCACATGAGCAGATCGCTTGCCAAATCATGTATTTCTTGGCAAACTTTGAAAGTTTATGCTTCCTTACTTCCCCCAGAACATCAAACTTGTGCTAGGCGGTGAAGAACAGTAGCCCCGGAAGCTGCCGGAAGTCCGCCTTGACGTAAGTCTCATCATCCATGGTGAGAAAATGAGGCTTCGTCAGCATCTGGGTTCCCACCGTATTTTGCCGTTCGTCACGATTTGGAGCCTTCTGCTTTTTGTACGTATGCAGTCCCTCCCGGTCCTTGGCTCACTGAGCGAAAGACTTGGACAGATTCAACTTTTTGGCCACTTCCCTGACCGAAGCATTGGGATTCCGCTTGAACGCTTTCACGACACGCTTGTGATCCTGATCATAGAACATCCATTCTGACCGCATTTTTAATTTATTTCTAGGAGTCACTATTCTCGCAGCTTTTGTGCATGGAAAATACCGAGAGAGAATAAAATTGATCAAGACCACCCGATTAAATATTTAAGTCACAGTGTCAAAATGACGGAAAAAGTCCCCTCTTTCAAAAGGTGAAGGTTTCGAGAAAACCGATTTTCTTTTCTTTTAATGTTACTATAACAAATACACCGTGGTGACAGTACCTGTAATAGGTATGGGAAAAAGCATGACACAAAATCAGGCTGCGGATAAACATGCATGCATGCAATTGAAAAACATTGCAGAGTCAATCATTAAAATTCCATGCATTTAACGATCCTGACTACAGCATTTACTAGGGAGTCCAATGTAGCCCAACTTACCCTAAGCGACAATAACCGCTCATAATTAACTGCTTTTCCTTGGTCACATCGGAACGACTTGTGTCGCATTAGTATACTTACATACAGACGCTTCAGAAGGGGTTAAACCGTCGGTGAATTAAATCAGAATTGATTCTATAAGAAGACAAACATCGCTGACGCACATCGCCATCGTTAATTAACATTTCCTGGCAGAAGATCTCCGTAATGGGACGAACCGAACTGGAACGGGATTTGAGCATAATTTTCTCTCTCATGCAATCCGTGGCATTGTGGCCGTACGAATACGATACGCTTCTACCGGCATGGCTTCGAGGCCGTTATCGGATTTCATCGATTCTGAACGTGCTTTACTTCATTTTTTGGCAATTCATTTGTCTGCACATTGCTGTATTTCACATCAAAACGGTGCTGGATAGTTTGGACAACTTCAACGATCTGTTTCTGGTGATGGTGAGCGCAATCATCTACTGCCTTATGCTTCTGATAAACCTATACTTTCAACTGTACTATCGAAAAAACGTCGAGCTCATCAAAATCTTGAAGGAAATGTTCAAGCAGCGATCAGCAGCCGGTCTAACGTACATTAAGTTTGAGTCATCCAGGCGGCACTTTATACGGTTATTCAAAATCTGGATCGTAACCTGCGTACTGGGAACACTGCACTGGGCAATCTTTCCAATTTTGCAACAAGAAAAAGTGCTGCCCCTTCAGTGTTGGTATCCGTTCGACGTTCGCCATTCGCCGATGTACGAGTTGGCATTCTTCGGACAAGTTCTTGGCCAGCTTCAGGTTGGAATCGTATACGGGATGACCGGGGCACTTCTAATGATGTACATCTTTACTGTTTGCGGTCAGTTCGACATACTATGCTGTAGTCTGAACAATGTCTATTACACGGCGATGATAAATAGAGGCGGCAACCGATTTACGCTGGCTGCCCTCCAAGCGGATCAGGAGAAGATTCTACGCGAACCGAGCCACTACTACATAAATGAAGTGTTTTTGGAGGAGTTGGGCCAAGCACCGAAGACGGCAACCAAGGCGTTTGCTCCGTTGCCAATAAAGCATCAATATTTGGAAAAGTTACAGGATGACTTGGTAACGGCCTTGGATGCATGCATAGATCACCACGCAATGCTTTTGAACTTTTGCCATCAGCTAGAAGAGTGCTACCATCCGTTCGTAATGCTCAAGCTTGGACAGATGTTGAGTTTGCTTTGTGTGCTATCCTACATGGCAACAGTGGTATGTACAGGAGCTACTTATAAATGTATTATTTAAATTCTGAATAGTTAATCCATTTCAACAGGACAGCCTGAGCGCCATGAAGCTGATGAATATTATGGAATATTTCGTGCTGACTATGACGGAGCTTTTTTTGTTTTGCTATCTTGGTCAAACGTTGATAAATCAGGTAATTATCAAAGACACACTAAAGCATTCCGACGAGACTAAACATGTTTGGATCTATTCCAGAGTTCCAAAGTCGGCGATGCCCTGATGACAACACCCTGGTACGAGGGCGGTGCCACGTTTCGACGAAGGGTCGTATTTATATTGATGGCTTCCCAGAAAGCATTGAAGCTAACCGCATTCAAGATGTATCGTTTGGACTTTGAAACGTACTTTACAGTGAGCAAACTGAAGTTGGTTCGGAGATTGCCTTAGCTATTACCCATTTGATTGATAATTACAGGTTTTAAAGACTGCATTTTCCTACTACACGTTGCTCAAAAAACTGCAGAGTGGACATCGTCGATTCGTGGATTGAACCAACTTTGACCTATTTCTTGTGATGTAACAAGAGTATATAAATTTTGTTTTTTGTTTGTTTGATTTGTTTTACGTACTGATGCTACCGACACCAGGGAGGCAGCTCCCACACCTTTTTTTTTTTTTTTCCTTTGGTTTGTTTTTTCCGTCGATCTTGTTTTCCGTGCTGAGCACCAATGCTACCGACGTGCCAGGAAGGCAGCTACCACACCTGGACCCTACCTATCGACCCATCAACTCATGAACCGGGGACCAACGGCTTTACTTCCCATCCGAAGAAAGGCGTGATCAGAGATGTTATGCCTCAGAACATCCCGGCGGTGCCGACTGGGATTGAACCCAGGCCTGTTGGGGTGAGAGGTAATCACGCTTACCACTATACCACCGGCGCCGTTGTAGCTCCCACACCTGGACCCTACCAATCGACCCATAAACTCATGTACTGGGGACCAACGGTTTTACTTCCCTTCCAAAGGAAGGCGTGATCAGAGTATAAAATAATTCTTAAGTCAAACTTCATTTCAAAGTGTAGAGTGCCGAGCAGTCAACTCAACCCGATGAGCTAAGAAAATGTGTGTGTTAATAAATCGATTTTTGTATGAATATCGCCGGATTGCTGGTACCCCAAGTAACACAATTTGTCATAAACGGGTTTACATAACTTATTTATGACAATATCAGCGGTAAACATTTACGTCAAGTCACTTATATACAACTTATTTATACCGAAAAAAGCGCAAGAGGTGGGATCTATATATAACATATGCTTGACTTGCGCAACTAATTTATGACTATAACGCAACCTACTGTATTGGACATGTTGTAAATTAATTTCATCCTTCCTACGAATGGAATTTGTTTATCATCAATTTACACAACTTATTCTTCTGAGGAATTTTATCCTGCGTATAAAGTTCCTAAACTAATATTCTGTACTGCAAACATTTATGCGGTTGCAAATTTATGGTAAATCTTTACATTCTACTTCTAAAAAACTCAGTGGCTCTTAGAAAAAGCTCAATATAATAAATTGAATTGCTTAAAAATCCTGGATAAAATTCAACAAGTTTGCAAAAAATAAAAACAAATAGAATATCAACTTTCTTTTTTAATTATCTTACTTTTCTCTTTTACAAAACGTACATGTGATGTTAAAAGCACAAATTAAATGTTTTTTTCATTCTATACATTGCTTCATTCGTCAGCCATATTGTAGTGCAGTTTGTTGCATTGCTGGAAACATGAGTACAACTGAAATATAACTTATTAATAACCAAGGTTGCAAAGACTCATTTCAGCTAAAATAATGTTTTTCGAAATAATAAAACCAAAAGATGGTATGATGGCATGTTTTACTTGTAACTTACAAGAAGAGGTTACAATGTATACGTTGGAAACATAAAACCTGTAAATTTTGCTTTCTATGAGTCACAATCAGCGATTTGCTGGTCGCTGAGTGAGTGAGTGAGTGAGTGAATGAGTGAGTTTGTGAAAAATCGCTGATTGTGACTCTCATGAAGTGAAATAAACAGGTTTAATATGTCAAACACATTCTTTGCGACCTCTTCTTGTATCCTACCAATTCAAAATTTGATCATGGCATCTAATTATTTCATAATTTAGAAAAACATTGTTTTAGCTGAAATGAGTCTTTGCAACCTTGTTAATAACATGTTATAAATAAGTTATATCTCAGATGTATTCATGTTTCTAATAATGACATATGAAAACATGTTGTACATAAGGCTAGCCAGTTTTCACCAAATACCATTAGTTATAAATGAGTTATAAACTGGTAATTGAGACATGCAATATCGAATTATAACTTCAAGATAACAAGTGCTTGTCAGAAAGGTTGAATACTTCACAAACAACAATAAAGCGCGTCTAAAACAGGATGTTTTAAAAGCAATTAATTTATAACTTATTTACAACTGGATTTTTTTTATTTTTCATGCAAGATGTTGCAAGTGTTACTTGGGACAGTACCTTCCGGTTTTTGGCAACACGTATTTTTCGGATTAATTTATATCTCTAAAATCCACCAAACACTAGATCAATTGGATAACATTACTGAATTGACCTTTATAGATCTGAGATGGCTGGTAATGTATCGAAAAAATTTCCAAAAATTTATTGTACAAAACTAGGGGGAAAATAACTGTCTAAGTTGTGGTGTCAAAAACGGGAAGGCATTATATTTAGGTTCAGATTTTTGCCTTTCTCGTGCATCGAGGTGTACCGAAAGGCTATAATATGGCGTGAAAAACATATTTTCGATTATGGGCCCTGATGACCAATTGTCATATACCAAAACATAACATACACATCTATGACACAAACGTCATTCCCATATACTTTGCGTGAAGCCGAAAAATCCTGGTTCTCTGGTTCGATCGAACCAGAGAACCAGGATTTTTCGGCTTCACGCAAAGTATATGGGAATGACGTTTGTGTCATAGATGTGATAACATAGCATAACGGAAAATGTATACATGTGTGTGTGTGCGTGTTTTTTTTATGGCAAGCTTTATAAAAGCTTCATATCAATGTCAATGTATACAGCGGGACAAACTCAACGAATTTCAAAGTTGTTACGTGTTTTTTAATGTACCAATAGTATACCATAGCGTACCTTTAAGGATTTTGAACGTACCTGAAAGCTTTCCGGAAAACCCGTGTCCCGCTGGATAGATATACGATTTCGGCAATGACCGCGAACTTTTTGAACCGAATCCTGATGAATGTGGGCGTCTTATTGGAATAGGATTAGTCATTTCTATTTAATTCCACTACCTTATTTGCTTATCCTTGACAGACTTCTTCAGTGTCTTGTACTAATACTCAACTATTAGTATAAGACACTGAAGAAGTCTGCACATTGTAGACGAAATACGCGTATCTGTCAAGGGTAAGTAAATAAGGTAGTGGAATTAAATGAAAATTACTACTCCTTCTCTCTCTCTTTATGTTTAAACCGGTTTACATATGAAATCTGTTCACAGAATTGGATTACTCGAAAATTTTTAGCCCGATTTTATATTAAAAAACATTAAACTTTAGTGCATTCTAGCGAAGACAACAAATCAAGAAGACTGGCAACTCTTCCATTTACGAACGCTATGAGACAGGTACAATCGCGTCATCTGCCGCTCAAAGGTAAATGCTTCGAACGAATTTGATAGCAAAGATTACATCCTCAGGTTTGTGTATTTGCTAATTTTTCTACGCGTTGCTTCCACCGTCACTCAAGCGCAGAGCTATTGTATCTGTCGCTTGGATTTTGCAAAGTTGATATGATGTCTTCGATTTTAGCCAAATTGAGGACCAAAAACAGTTTTTTTTTTAAATTGTATGCCTTAAAAATTTACTAATTGCGAACAAAAATGTTAAATATCTTAAATAATTATGGATACGCATGGTGCTCCATCATAAGATATCCTTTGACCACTTTCTGATCGATCATGGTTAACGTACCTGACTGAAATTCACTTTCTGATAAAAAATACCAGTGATTTAAATAAAAAAAATAATATGACCACTTTAAGTCTGATATTTGACGTTAAGCATCTCCAACTATGTAAATAAATGATAAAATTTCACAAGCTTTACACCAAACAAATCTTCCATTTTGTGAATTTTCACTTAAAATTAACACTTCGAAAATAAATTAAAATGTTCAAAAATTTCTCTGCTGTTGATCGACTTTTTTTTTAACTCTTTATTTTTTCTAAATTCAAAATAATTTACATTTCATTTTAACCTAGGTGCTCCAGTTACTACAGTAACTTACCAGCCTTAATTGTTATGATATATATCTAAGTGTGTTTACATTGTTCCTGCCTTGGCAATTCAGTATTTTAAACAGAGTTGGTTGGAAATGCTAACATGAAGCTTTAGTGTGATGATTTATTAGCTAGAGAATGATCTTTAGAAGAGAGTAGGTGGATAGTTCCGTTAGAGTACGGCAGTATGAAAATTGAATAGAAGTTGAAAATGAGCGAAGGGCCATTAATGCGACAGTTTTTAGAGATAGACGCACATTTTTGCCTAACCCGTACGATGTACGCGGGGACATACTTCAATGTCTCCAAGTCCACAGGCAAAAATGTGCGTCCCTCTTTTTGCTCATAAACTGACTGCGGCTGTGGAATAGTTCTAGCGACGTTTTCATCACTACCTAAAGCCCCACGTTGCGAGAGCATTTCCAGTCGATGGTGTGTTATAATGCAGTTCTTCTTTACCCAACTATTGTGTTGCTCATCTCGTCATGACCAACGTGATCATCTCAGAGAGAAAGCAGTAGGGTGGTAGTTGCGTGCTGTACCATCATCAGCATTGTTGACGGCTACTCCCGCCTTGAGTTGTTACATTCAAAGTGTTTTTATGTTACTTCATACGCGAAGTTAACGATTTTCAGAGTTGGTTGGAAATGCTAACATGAAGCTTTAGTGTGATGATTTATTAGCTAGAGATTGATCTTTAGAAGAAGGTAGGTGGATAGTTCCGTTAAACTAAATCTTATCTAAGTATAAAGGGAATTAATCGATGCAATTGAGGATTGCTACGACTTTTGCCTGAAATTATTAATTATTTTGATGGACATTTGTTCTAAAGTCTCAACATTCGAAATTCTATGTACTTCGGTAGTACTGTACCAGGGAGACAACTTCAAAATCATCTTCAAAACTTTGTTCTGAATCCTTTGAAGTGATTTTTTCCTGGTAGTGCAACAACTATTTAGACCATATTGGCACAGCGTAAAGCATGGCCGGTCTAAAAACTTGTTTAAATATTAGAAGTTTATTCGTCAGGCAAAGTTTGGATTTCCTGTTTATAAGAGGATACAAATATTTTATATATTTGTTACATTTGGCTTGAATGCCCTCAATGTGATCTTTAAAAGTTAATTTTTGGTCAAGTATTAATCCAAGATATTTCACTTGGTTTGACCAGGAACAAAGATTTGTGACAACCCTGAGGCAAATCAGGGAGGTC